CTTAGGATTAGTCGGCTCGCATAGCGGGTTGGATATCCAGGTGAATTAAAAAAAATCCAGTTTAAACTTTATTATTATGTACATACAACTTTTTTTAACAATTCATAAACTTTTTTTGCCATATGCATCATAGTGAAGAAGATAGTAGCGCTCAGGATCTATGGTGTTAGACTCTGGACAGAAAATCATATTTGAGAATAGAGACTCTGATCATGATATACATGGATAATTTTTTTGAAATAGTCCTCACTTTGGTATTGTTGATGATTGTTTACCAGGTAATCATCTTACTGGAAAAAAGTATAGGATTAGATGCACTGTTTTTAACAACAGATGCAAATACTAGCTAATTTCTGGGTACTATTACAACAGGGTAAGTTGAACAATGGATTTACCCTTTCCAGGTTTAATCTTTCTGCAAGTTCTAATATCCATTTCCTTTTTGTAAACAGTTTGATCTTTTTACCTACAATCATACCATTTTTTTCTATTGTAAATCTTAGAAATTGTACTAACAATTTCGTAATACACATCTTTTATGTCATCATATTATGTTCCTGAGATTGAATTTGATTCAAACTATCACCCCTTGCTTCTGATCTTAAAGGGGTTTAAACTATTTGATCGTTTGATCTGTTGATGGTAGTCCTCCCACGAATGAGGTAATTAAGTTCTYAAATCTCTTTTATGAATAAATGGTTTCCATTAGTTTTTGTGTTTTCATTCCTTAGTTAGAGACTGAATGAAGTAAAKATTTTTAACTGGTTGATGTGAGATTTCMTGCTCTATTGGTCTTATTGATCACAATTTCACAATTTTTTTMTGTATGTTGTTTGGGAATGACGATTTGTGTTTGCTAGAAGAAGATATCAACATAGTGTTTTGTGAATTCCCCTAATTTTCGAGTATACCCTTGTTAGTACTTAGTATTGCCTTTGTCCAAAAAATTTTGTTGGTTAATGTTATATTATTACAATATAGCTTGCAGATGGTTTTGCATTTTCTAATTGGCTTCTAGGATTTGCATAAAGCAAAGTAATTTAATTAAAGATTAAAGATGATGTGAATTTCATTGCCAAAAACAGAGTTGAGTCCATGAGGCTTCTGTGCTACCTGGGTATAAGAACATTCAATCGTATGTAAAGAGTTAATAATGGATGCCTAGGTCACAAGGAAGTTACTTTAATGTACTTGCAACCATTTTCATTGATTTTTTTTTTTTTTCTGTTCCAACTCTAAAAAATGGGTAATTGTTATTTCACTTTTTGCCTCTTGGATGTTGTCAGTCTACAGGAAATGTATTTGTAAGAAGCTCTCGGATGAAGAACTTGAATGTTGTCCAATATGCAATATTGATCTAGGATGTGTGCCTTTGGAGAAGTTGAGGTCATCTCTTTCTCTGTTTTGTTATGGCGTTCAAAGTTGCACATCAAATTGTTGTGAATGTAGGACAATGCACAAACACATTAAATATCRAARATCAAGTTGTTGAGATAAAGTAGAGTTATGTTGTTAATTACATAATTGGTAAGATCTATTTTATCTTTGCATGGTTATCCTTGTTATAAATCAACCATTGGAAGGATTATTTAACTACTTATTACTAGCAAAACCCTCGTATTTCATGATGTATGTTTCTTRTTCTCTCTTTTATTGGTCAATTGTCCGGATTTTGTTTGCCATCTTTAAGCTTCCTCAATGGGTAATATTCATTGACAGTGGCTTCTTAGCTTCCATTASAGTTMTTCTATTGCATTCTAATGAATAGTTATCTCGTGAAGAAATCTACATGGACAGTAGTATAAGATAAGTCACGTCGTGCTTTCTTTTGAGATTGATAGATGGTTTCATAATACGACATCAAATAGATTATTGGATTGTTTCAATTCATCTCAAATCCATTGAATATGGAAAATCAATAAAGTGTAGGGTCTGATAGTTTCAAATACAAATGTTTATCTGTAATCAATATGCCCATTCACATCTTTACAAAATTTCATATCCCGTTGCATTGCGCGGGTATACAACTAGTACTCATTAAAATTCATTGACGTATACACATCAATGAATATATAAGTTCATATAATTCTATTTTTTTATGTATATTAAATTCTTTTATCTATTTATATTTTTTTAAAAGGAGAAGGGTTGACCACGAAAAGAATATTACTAAAATAAACGGTCAAAATGTATCGTAGATTAATACTTAAACCATTTCAAAATAAACTTTGGTCAACTCTGAGGATTGTTTGACCAAGTAATTATCGTCTGTTTCAAGTAACTCAATTTTATCTTCACTTTGATATAATTTAAATATCATAATTATATAAGAAAAGCTTTCGTTTGGTTTGAGCATATGCAATGGTAAATTCAGATATTACTAA